AATTATTATCACATTGCTAAGCAAATAGCTTTATATCAATATAATTATTTTATTTTGTGAACAAAATAACCTTAACTGCATAAAATAAAATATCATAAAAATATTGTAAAAATTAAATAATATATTTCATATTTTCTTTTAAAAATTATGTGGATCAGTTTTATTTTATGTTAATAATATTAAGTAGATTATGGCTAAAAAAGAAATAACCTTGTTATTGTTGGGTGAGTCTGGTGTGGGAAAGTCTACATTCATCAATGCCTTTGTTAATTACATGACTTACGAGACTATGGCTGAGGCCAGGGATCGGCCCCACTGTCTAATCCCCGTCTCATTCACGGTATCGGATGAGGAGACCTACGAACTCAAGAGTATTAAGTTGTGTCCACACGAAGACCCCAATGAAAACACTACAGACAGCACTCGATCGGCCACACAAAACACCCGGTGCTATAAGTTTACAGATGGCAACATAGCCTTGAATATCATTGATACCCCGGGTATTGCCGATACGGAAGGTATTGAAAGGGATAATAAAAACATGGAAAACCTCTTGCATTTTATATCCAATTATCGCGAGATTAACGCTATTTGTGTGCTCCTGAAGCCTAACAACGCTAGAGTTGACGCGATTTTCAAGTATTGTTTGTTACAGTTATTTAGTCACTTGAATAAGTCTGCGGCCGATAACATACTGTTCCTCTTCACCAATGCCCGGTCCACTCAATACGCACCGGGAGAGTCGGGGCCCTCATTAAAGGCGTTATTAGAGACATTGAAAACCAATACCCCAAATGTGGACATACCTTATAATCGGAGCACAATATATTGCTTCGATAACGAGGCATTCAGATACCTAGTGGCTACCGTTCCCCCGAATGATATGGTGTTTAGCGAGGATTTAACCCAGGAATACATTAGGAGTTGGCAACAGTAAGTATTTTATAAAATTTATCAAGGTTATTTTTTCCACTAAACGTAATTACATTTAATAGATCAGTTAATGAGTGCGATCGTCTATTGGAGCGCATAGTATCCCTAAAACCACATCAAGTGATGGACACACTGTCCCTCAATAACGCCAAACAAAATATCCAGCTATTGATTGAGCCATTGGTCGATATATCGAAAAATATCGCCGAAAATATAATTGAATGTGAGAAACAGATGAGTAAATTAGAGAAATATAATGGAAACATACAGGAGCTGGAAAGAGAACTGTACATTCCGTATCTGGATATGGTACCTAAGCGATTGGATCACCCTAATACGGTATGCACCGCTAAAGGGTGTTACGAAAATCAACCTATCCCTGGTACATCAAACACGCGCCCCGTTTACCCTAGACCTTGCCATTCACCATGCTACGTGTCGTGCGGTAGTGGTAATATATTAGGCAATAGAAGTTTGCTTGATTGTCGAGCGTTTAATCGTTACTCAAAAATGTCCATCTGGTCCATCAATTACATTGGTCTAACCGTGTTGTACCCCGATTTCGGCCCTGAACGGATTAAAAAACCACTAAAACGTGAAGTAGTGGAAAAGTGTCAAAGTTGTAATCATAGCTACATGGAACATAAACACGTGTATTACGAATATGAAGTGGGTATTGCTAAATCCAGTGATGAATCCAAACGTCTAACTACTAATACGGAGGCTTTAGAGGCCCAGCAATTGCAATTAAAGGAACTAAAGGGAAAAGTTGATGAATTAACCACTGAAAGCACCTTAATAATCAGAAAAATCGCAAGGTTTATGCATTTCCTAGAGCACAATTCCCTAACACCCTATAATGATTCATTCAAAGATTATCTTGTCCACTTATTTAACAGTCAGAAAGCAATCGACAATATCAAGGATGACTCAAATAAAGAAATTATTAGAAAAATGGAAAGTTTTTTAAAAAGTTATTTGGACGAAAGGAATCATTTAGAAAATGTTAAAAGCGATGGACCGTTAACAAGCATTGAGAATGATTTTACTGAATTGTTAAACTTAAAGAAACATGGTAAGACTATTCGTGACCTAGTTTATGCCCAACGGGCATCAAGAATATATTGTCATGGCATGAATAATGAAATTGTTACAAATGTGAATGCTGATTCTGCACTGTTTAACAAATTAAGAAAAATTTTTCAAATGTATTTTCTAATGTAAAATTTAAAAATTTCTTTAATTAAATGAAGTAATAGATACAATTTAAGTATGAATTTTTGTTTTATTACTGAATTCATTCAAAAATGATATGAGCTAAATAAACCTGAAAAACAGTATATTCAAGGCAAAATTTATACATTATAAGGGTATTATGTGTTAACTATAAATAAAGTAGTTGACAAAAGGGTATTTATGGGTTTATTTAGTATTAAAAATCGTAAAATTGAGCTGTTGTTAATAAAGTGTTGTTTAATATCATACATTGAGTTATTCATTGTGTCCGCATTCATGGAGCAGCTCAATGTGACTTCGCGAATAAAACCCAACCTCCCGGTGCTGACACTCAACGCATCCACGTCCAGGACTACTGAACTAGACGTTTAGTTTAGTTGTCCGGGACGGGAATCATTACTAATTACTATTCTGACATTCATGTTGTATACCAACGATGTGCTTGATTTTGGATAAATTGATAAGGGTTGTATATCCCTGGAGGACATCGATAAGAAAATCTATGAGTTGTGTGGACTCAAGTGGAACGAGGGGCTCATTACGAAGATGTTGGCAGATCAGCAACAGTACATCGGACACGCAATTGCTAAGTAAATGGAGTATAGAGTACCGAAACGTTCGTAAATATTCAGAACATTGGGAATTCTTGTTAATACATTTAATCCATTTACTTAAATTACTTAAATACTTCTTATTGAAAGTTGAGCATATAAAATTTAAACTACCTTTAATACAATTCATTATAATTTTATTTAAAAGATTTTTCTGTGAAGGAGAAACAAAGAATATTAACTGAAATTGAATCACAAATCCAAACTCAATGTATGTTGTTAAATTTTACAATTCATAGTCTAACGGGAACTTTTATTACATTGATTCATCAAAGTTTAAATCATCAAATTCACAAGCTAGAAACTACTCTATTGGAAATGCATATAAATCCGCAATGGGATAATCGTCCAGAATGTAGTGAAATCTTAGCTAAATATAGTCAATGGTCCATTAATAATAATATAATTTTATCCAATACCGAATTTCAATCAATATTAAATAAACTTCAGCAACATGATAATAAATTCTTTTTTAATATATTTAAAGCAGTTATTGGATTTAAACCTATTATTCCTCGAAAANTAGTTTACTGACGTGGCAGTAAAATAATAATGAATTTCTATGTTTTTTAAATTAATTGAGAATTATCAAGATAATCATTTTAAATAAATCTGTATTTATGTGATAAATAAATAAATTACTTAGAGGTCAGCATAAATAATATAATGTATATGTTTACTACAAGTATAATATAATGTTCAAGTAAAATAAACTGTTTTCTTATTTATTTACAGATTTAAATAAAAACACAAATGTTTAAAACTAACAGAAATAAATCAAATCAGCCTGCACCAGCCTCTAGGGGCACATCGAAGGTATATAATTTAATACTACCATAAATAACGCTTTAAAAAACCTATTTAATATTTGTAGCATGCTTCAATAAAGAAAGAGATAACAATCATATTATTGGGTGAGTCCGGTGTGGGAAAGTCTACTTTCATCAATGCTTTTGTCAATTACATGACTTACGATAACATGGAGTCCGCAAGGGTTGAGAAACCTATATGTCAAATACCGGTCAACTTTACTTACTCTGACCCTGATACTTTTGAACTGACAAATATTACACTAGGCTCCCAGGATGACATTAATGAAAACACTATCGATGCCACCCAATCGGCCACACAGTATCCCAAATGTTATAAATATTTAAACAAGGATATTGTCCTGAATTTAATCGATACCCCGGGTATTGCCGATACAAAGGGTATTGATAAGGATAACAGGCATATGAAAAATCTTTTAGCATTTATATCTAATTATCCGGAAATTAACGCCATTTGTGTGCTCTTAAAGCCTAATAACGCGAGGGTTGACGTGGTTTTCAAATATTGTTTGTTACAGTTGTTCAGTCATTTAAATAAGTCAGCGGCCAATAACATACTGTTCCTCTTCACCAATTCCCGTAGCACTAACTATGCCCCTGGTGAGACTGGACCTGTATTGAGAAACTTCTTGGACAAACTTCGTAATGATCCGCCAAATGTGGACATTAAGTATAGTAAGGAAACCATCTATTGCTTCGATAACGAGTCTTTCCGTTATCTCGTGGCTACTGTTCCCCCAAATAACATACCGTTTAAACCAAATTATGTCCGCCAACATACAGCTAGTTGGGACAGGTATTCATTTAAACGTTTAATATTAGATGTTATTTAATAATTTGAATATAAAGTTATTTTTACTTATTTTGCATCAAGATCGGTCAAGGAATGTGAGCGCCTACTTATGTACATTGCATCCCTACCGCCCCACAAAGTCCAGGACACAGTATCCCTAAACAACGCTAAACAACAGATCCTATTACTGACCCAACCATTGGCCGACTTATCTAAGACTTTATCCGATAACCAGAAACTCTGCGAAAATCATAAGAAGGCCATCAATGAGTTCAACGGCACTATAGAGGAGCTCAAAAAAAAGCTATATATCCCCAAAGTGTCCGTAATATCAGTCCCATTGGATAAGCCAAAGATGGTGTGCGGGCAAAGGGAGTGTTGCACTATAACTGAAAAGGACGGGCTGGTCAAAACTCATTATAAGAAAAATTGTCATTCACCATGCTACTTGGGCGATACACCGATCAACGTTTTAGGTGACACTAGCCTAAAGTCTTGTAGGGTATTTAAGCGGGGTTTCTTTCTAAAAAACGACAAATGCTCCGAGTGCAAACATAGTTATCAAGTCCACTTATATGTATGCTATGAGTCCCTTATGGAGGTCAAGGAGGTTAGAGATGAAGATGTATACAAAAGCTTGACTACCATTGAGGGGGCGTCGGAAGCTAAACAAGAGCAGCTACACAAAATGGAGACTTATGTGGGTGATTTGTCAAAGGAGCTTGCTACGATTTCTAAATGTATGGCTAAGTTTGCGTGCTTTTTAGAGCGAAATGCCCTTACTCCATTCAACGATGCATTTAACAGTTACGTACAGTATTTGATCGAAACCGAAAGGCGCGCTGCAAATAATCGGTCTACGATAGATAAGCTTGAACAATTACTGAATCAGTATAATATTCAGATTAAGGACTTGACAGATGCCATGAAAAGGACTGATACGGTTCAGGAGTATATATCGGTGCAGGATATCGAAGATAGTATTATAGAGTTGTACTCGCTCAAAATTAATGGTAACACCATTCAGCACACGATGGAAGTTCAACGCGAGTGTCAGACTAATAATCACGTGACAGATAAAGTAGTTAATTATGTGATGTCCGAGAAGTCGTTGTTTTCAAAGATTAAAAACTTTTTTGAGTTTAAAAAATAAATTTTATTTTAAAAATTCTTGTTGATAAAGAATTATATACTATTAAAAAGTTAATTTAATTAACTTGTTTAAAATGGATATGTTTAAAGTTGTATTTATTACTTCAATTAAACAAATTTTTAAATACATTAGAAGTTTATTATTTCTGTAACACTATTTTTAATTTGTTAAACAGTGCAGAATCAACAGGTACATTTGTAACAATTTCATTATTTATACCATGACAATTTATTTTTGTTGCACGTTGGGCATTAACTAGATCCCGAATAGTTTGACCATGTTTCTTTAAGTTAAACAACTCAGTAATATCGTTCTCAATACTTGTTAACGTTACATCGCTTTTAACTTTTTCTAAATGATAACTTTCAGCCAAGTAACTTTTTAAAAAACCTTCCATTTTTATTATAATTGCTTTATTTGAATCATCCTTGATATTGTCGGTTGCTTTCTGACTGCTAATTAAGTGAGCAAGGTAATCTTGGAATGAATCATTATAGGGTGTTAGAGAATTGTGCTTTAGGAAATGCATAAACTTAGCCATTTTTTTCATTATCATGTTGCTTTCAGTGGTTAATTCATTAACCTTGCCCTCCAGTTCCCTTACTTGCAATTTCTGGGCCTCCAAAGCCTCCGTATTAGTAGTTAGACGTTTGGATTCATCCCTGGATTTAACACTATCCACCTTGACTTCATACTCGTAATACACGTGTTTATGAGTCTTGTAGCTATGATTGCAGCCTTGACACTTTTCCACTACATCACGTTTTATTGGTTCGCTAATCCGTTTAGGGCCGAAATCGGGGTACGTCACGGTTAGACAAATGTAACTCTGCCAGATGGTTAATTTTGAGTAACGATTAAACGCTCGACAATCGAGCAAACTTATATTGCCTAATATAGGGCCACGACCGCACGACACGTAGCAAGGTGAGTGGCAAGGTCTAGGGTACACGGTGCGCGTGTTGGATGTACCAGGGATAGGTTGATTTTCGTAACACCCTTTAGCAGTGCATACCGTATAAGGGTGCTCCAAACGCTTAGGTATCATATCCAGTGACGGTATGTACAGTTCTCGTTCCAGCTCCTGTATGTTTCCATTAAATTTCTCTAATTTACTCATCTGTTTCTCACATTCAATTATATTTTCGGCGATATTTTTCGATATATCGACCAATGGCTCAATCAATAGCTGGATATTTTGTTTGGCGTTATTGAGGGACAGGGTGTCCATCACTTGATGTGGTTTTAGGGATACTATGCGCTCCAATAG